TGCGCACACACACACACACACACACACACACACACACACACACACACACACACACACACACACAGAAGGGGGGGGGGGTAGGGTTGCTGTGAGCTACGTTATTCTTTTTGTGCGTGCGCCATATAGAGCTATAATGCTCGTACGTTGTATTCCGGGGAAGGCTGGCGTAGGAGTCACTGTCATTTTCTTTTTGTTGTGGTCCTGGCTCGTGCCCTCGCCGTGCAATCGGGGATACGCGCAGCCACGTGACTCTTTGGGAGCGAGCGAGCGAGAGAGAGAGAGAGCGCTCGGACGTGCAAGCGGGAAGGGCCGGAAGTTGTATACATTTTTCTTCTTCTTCTTCTTCTTCTTCTTGTTCTTCTTCTTCTTCTTCTTCTTCCTGTCGATTTTCTTCTTCGTCAACGCTATTTGGTTTATGCGCCACGTAGAAAATGTTGCACCGTCCGACGTCTTCCTCCCCATGCTCGCACCGCTATTTGGTTTTTCTTCTTCGCCAAATCTATTTGGCTTCGAGAGCCATTGACCGACGGGAGAAGGAGAGAGATACAGTTTGGGGGTGGTGGTAAGGGCGGGAACGCCGGGAAGGGTGGACGTCCCCTTGTATTCTTCTGCTTGTTGTTCGTCTTGTAGAGAATATAGCAGATGCCGCGTAGGCCGATAGTGTCGATCCGTTGGTCTCGTTTTTATTAGATACTAATATTAATCCCCTGCTTGCGACTCTGGAAACGGAATCAATCATTTTTCTAGCGCTGATCTGATCCCTAATACAGTCTTCCCCCGAATACAACGTACGGTCATTATAGCTGAATTTAGACCGAAAGATACACCAAATTCAGCTATATCGACCGTACGTTGTATTCGGGGGAAGACTGTAGTTGGTGTAGAGATTGGCTGGGGCACACATATTAACTTGACTTCGATGGGTCTTTGCTGTTTGCCGTGGCTCCTTTCATTTCGTCTTGTGCATTTGTCTCATGAAGAATTATGTGGGAGAAGTATAATTTGAATTTTTGTAACAAAAAGATTGGCTTCGGTTTTTTTTTGTTGAAAAGGTACCATTTTGTTTATGGATTTTTCCTGCAAGAAAATAGAGCAGAGCCTATTTTAACACTTCATGGGGTTCCCAGCTTTGCTAGGCCCATTCGTTGTGTGTGTCGCTTTTCATCGTAACCGTTGCTTTCATCGGAGAGACATGCGTTTTGTGGTGGTTGTTTTTGGTACTAGGCAGGGTTTCGGTTTTTTTTTTTTTTTTTAAAAAAGGGCGACGGCCTTGTCTGTCTCATTGAGCTGACCGGCCCCAAACAATTCATTAGTCGTTGGTTTTACTCGTCAAGTTCCATCATCTGGATTCGAACACAGGTCTGTATTTCAACAGTTCCTGCGTGTGGTCCCCACTGAGCTAGGCTCTTGGGTGGGTTTCGTTTTTGAGTGTTTTTGGGGTGGAATTTCCTCGGATGCGCTACCAGACTGCCCGGAGAATGTTTTTTTCCATTTTCATTTTCCCTGTTGCCTTCAGGGCCTCTCTATTGTCGTCCGTCGTAAGCAAGCAAGCAAGGACACAGCAAGCGCCCACCCAACGTACACACAGAACAGATTGACCTGCCAATCGTGGCTATTCACAAGATCATGTTTCCGTTTTTTGGGGGGCGCAGATCTGCATCGACTGCATCATTACTGCATCATTCATCAATGCAACTTAGAAATAGGGCCTCGCTGCACTACTCTCGGAATGTGCAAAACGAGAGTGAATCTTCCGCTAGAATATGGAAAGATACATCGCCATGATTTTTGTCTTTTGTGCATGTCGAGAGTAGTGCAGCGAGGCCCATACTCTCACTCCCTCACTTGCACACTTGCTCACTTGCTCAATGGCTGGCACCGTCACTTGCTCCGTTCCAGTCCCGCTTCCTCCTCCCTCTCTTGCTTACCGTCTTCACCGTAATAGATATAGAATGGTGTTTTATTGTATAAGAATATCTGAACCCGCAGTTTTTTTCCCACCTACTCACAAGGGCTGGGCCTACCTGGCGATTTGCAGAAATACCCTGTGGCACCTCGCAGAAATAAACTACCGGTGGTATTCTGGACCCCGCAAACATCAGAAAGTGCGTGGCGCAGATTGGGCGTGCAGTTGCGTTGTTGCTGGTACTATGCTTCACCTTTCTTTCTGTTTTCTTTTTTCTGCAAGATCATCGAACGGCAGAAAAGCCTGCTGACGTACAACCTCTGCTGTCTTTGCTTTCGTGATTGTGTGACAGTATTGCTGTGCTCCTCGGTTGCAGGCTCTCGGAGTCTTTGCTCTGGCAAGAGGAGAAGGACAAAGGAGAAAGGAGAAGGAGGAGGACGGATTTGAACGAAGACGAGAGATTTCAAACAACGACAACAGTTATACGCCTTGATCATCATGCTGAAGCCATCCACCGTGCTCGCCGCCATTGTGGCCCTGGGGCTGGTCCTCATTGCGTCCCCAGTGCAAGTTTCAGGGCAGAGGAGGTACTTGTGCTGGTACAATCGAGATCAGAATGCATATACGTTCAAGAAAATCGATTGCAAGAAGCAACCGACCGCGGCGACGCTGGAAGGATGCCAGGAGGTGTGCACCTCGCACGGGAGCAAGTGCGCCGGAATAGTCTTCGCGGTCTACAACTGGCCCGCTGGCAAACACTGCTGCTTCCTCAAGTCTTACATGGACTTCTACGGAAGGCAGTTCCAGATGGACCGCCACACTTGCAAGAAGGAATGATCTTGAATCTTGATTATACTTTTTTTTTTTTTTTTTCGTTGATCGGGCTGCTGCACCAACAGAGGGCAGGGTCACTCCGTCTCTTTTTCGAAACTAGGGGCCCCCATATCCCACCGACGCCACCGTGAGCAGAACTTGTCGCAGTCCCCCTCCTCTGGAGTCACACAGCTTGCTTGCCGCCTGGGCAACAACACACTGTGTGCAGGGCCGCACACTCTGCAGAGTCACAGAGTTTGCTGCAGGCTTGCACAGTTAAGCTGCTGCCTTGCACAGTTTGCTGCAGGCTTGCGCAGATTGCAAGTCGCACACAGGTTGTCGGCCGCACRGTTTACGCCGTCGGGTCATTCGTTCATTCGGCTTGGGGATTGCTGCCAGGTGATCGACGATGATTTGCTCGCTTGCAAGCAAGTAGGATCTCAGTGTCTGTTTTGTTTTTGTTTTTTTTTTGTTTTTTTTTTTTGTGTGTGTGTGTAGGCAAGCGTCTGTCTGTCTGTCTGTCTGTCTTTTTGTAGGCCTGTAAAAGCCGAATCCGTACGTTTGGGTTTTCCTTCCTTGGGTTTTGAATCTGTCATCGCTGGTTTGCATCGAGTGACTGAAAAAAGTATGTTTTCCTTCCTTGGGTTTTGAATCTGTCATCGCTGGTTTGCATCGAGTGACTGAAAAAAGTATGGCTGTAGCAAAAAGCAGAAGCTTGCAGTCATCTCTCTTCTTTTCTGCATAGAGATTAATTATATGTGATGGGCACATTACCTGCAGCAAAAGCATCCTTCCTTTTCAGTCTTAAGGTAGACAGAGCTTACTGGGAAGCGAGGGCTACGTGATTAGTTGTTGTTGTTGTTGTTGTTGTTGTTGTTGTTGTTGTTGTTGTTGTTGTTTTGCGTGATTAGTTTTCTCGATAAGGCATTCTTTATTATATTTATGCAATTTTAATAAATGTCCGTATATGGTGGCGGTGTTTGTTTGGTCTCGCTGGGTCACCTCACCTGTTCCACAAGCGGGAGCCATGATCTTGACCTGGTCCCGACCCTTTTTTTGGAGTGACCAGTAAAAGGTACTGCTGATGTGCGGTGCGGGGATTGTGCTGTCGCCTCAGGCTCGTTTTTAAGGTCATATCCAGTCCCCGTTGTCTTTCAGACGGTCGTTTCAATCTTGGTTTAAGTCGGAGGCCTCGGGTTCTGTTCATTCTTCTGGCTACTTCTGGTCCCAGTTGGTCCTGTTTTGGCACTAAGTCTTGCGGTTCTCTTCTCGCTCCAGCTACCTAGTAACTCATTTGGGTCTCATCCGGTACCTGTCTGCACGGCGACTATTGAATAGGTAGGAGTTTAAAGTCCGTTGAATAGGTTTAGGGGTTTAGTGTACTTTGTTTCTATCTCACCAGGGCAGCCGCTGGCGCCCTGAAGATGGCCGCTGCTAGGGTACTTCCGCCAGTCTCTGTGCTTCACGCTATGGCGCTTTTCGTTAATTTTTTGTGTGCTCAACTGTATATCTTTCCAAATTGATGTGCTCGGGGCCTTACTACTTAAGTTTGTCTTTTTTTTTT